GGATCACGGTTTATGGCAACCCTGAGCTGAGAGCCCACTCCTCGACTCCGTCTCTGCAGCCGGCTTCCCCACTCCAATACCTGGGAGCTCTGCCGCACTCAGGCACCCCCAGTCATTCTGTGACCCCAAGGGTCCTGAGACCACATTGTCCCAGAGAGGGTTCCACCCCCCACTTAGCCACCAGAGCAACATCCCTCAGCGGAGCCGACTTCTAAAAGTTCCGATTTTGTGCTCCGCTGCTCTATCACTTGCCAGAAGCGGCCGACGGAGGCCCCCGCCCCCACTGTCTATCCTCCTGAATATCATCTCGGATTCACTTCTCTGCGTGTCCTACCTTCCAGAAAGTAGTCACTTTTCTGTTCAGACAGTTGCTGCTGTTCTTTTCTTTGATCTGTTGAGTTTGTAGGTGTTCAGAATGGTTTGATCCCTATCCAGCTGAATTCCTGGGACCAGACGAAATTTAGGTCTCCTACTCCTCCTCCATCTTGCTCCGCCCTCCCTCCTTAATTTTCAAACCTGCTTTTTTCCCTTTGTATGTCTTCATGGCTATGTTGATAGGAAGATATGAAATCATATATGAAAAGACATTAATCTGATGCTATCTTACTTCATAGGCCAAATTCATATTTTTTAAAGGAAAAATAAAAGTTTTAGGAAGGAAAAAATATTTTTTAAGGAATATTGGAATATAGAATGTTTAATTTAGAGGGAAGTTTTTATAGCAGACAAAATAATTGAAATAACTTGCCTTTAATTGTACTTCTACTTAATACTTTCATTTTATGCCATTTTAATATGGAAATTTTAATAAAATCACTTAAAAAATAAGAACCCTGACACATAATTTTTTTTTTTTTTAATCTCCTTTAGGTTGCTGATGCCAAGTCTTTCTCAGGACCTTTTAATGTCTTGCCTGTGAAGACAAAATGGAGTAACATTGGCTTTCATATCCTTCTGTTTGATCTGGAAAATCTTGTTGAACTTTTGCTGCCAACTCCAATCTGTGATGTTGACCCTTCCAATTCATTCTATGGTAGTGAGATCCTGAGAAGAGCCAAAAGCACAGTGGAGAAGAAAACATTGACGCTAAAAAGAAATAAAACTGCCTGTGGTTCTCTCTCAGCGGAGGCGCAAGCCAAGCTTGTTGGTGAAAACCCAGCCCAAGGAGATAATGCTGTCAAATTCTTAGAAGAAAGTGATGGCATTAAAAGGCAGAAGAAAACAAAGAACTCCAAAAAGATGCACCCTAAGCCATCAAGAAAAGTGGATGCCAGCATCACAATAGACGTAGCTAAATTGTTCCTATCTTGCTTTTTGCCATGGGGAGTGGATAAAGAATTAGATAATCTCTGCATTAAACATCTCAATATTTTAAAGCTTCAGGGTTCTGTTTCTTTAGGACTTGCCGCAAATGAAGATCGCTTCTCGTTAATGCTGCCGGGGTGGGATGAATGCAATGTTGAAATGAAAACAGACTATTCAAAAGTTAATTTATTTTCCAAAAAAGTTTTGGACTTGTCAAATAAATACACGTCCACGCTTCCAAATCAGGTTGGGATGCCAAGAGGACTGGAGAATAATTGTGATTCTTTGCACGAGTCAAGCACTATAGTTTATTTATTGAGCAGACTATTTGTAGTTAATGAGTTAGTTAACATGCCTTTAGAGTTGGCATGTGGAACTGACAGGTAAGACATGCATAAAGATTTTGACTACTGTTATTTGGGACATTAAAAAAACTATCATTATTTGCTATATTTGGCTTTTTACCCTCGCTCCCTCCTCTCCTTCCTTCCTTTCTTCCTTTTTTCAAATGAAAAGTAAGCGTGCAACAGCTCCTTTAGCTCAAAACACATGTAAGAAAAACTTCCTCTTAATTCTTTGGGATCAGAAGATAATTTGGGCAATAAATCTATATATTTTAAAATTTATTCATTCAACAAATATCCACTGCTCTCATAATATGTGTCAGGAAAATCATAGTGCTGGGAGCTGAATGATTTAATAGATAGGTAGACCGAGAGATAGATGATAGATTGACTCATACACACCTTGAAATCCATTTTACTTGCTGTGAATTAAATATGAACAAAGAACATTTAAGTAAATGCCAATGATAATGTATTTCATATATCATCGGAAAAAGTTTTACAATTTCATACCTCAAATCCCACCATTTAATTTATACTTTGGCATATTAAACTAGAGGTGGCGATCAGTAATTCATTTACAAAAAGTACAGTTTAGTAAAAATAGCTATTGTTTTTTGAATGTTTAATATCTATTAGTCACCATGTAAGTACTTTACTTACATGATTTCATTTAATATGCAAGGCTAGCATATAGGTACTATTACTTTGCTCTTTGTAAAGATGAGGATATTGAGACTTACGGAGAGAAGATATCAACTCCAAGATTAATTCAGCTCCTTAGAGGCTGATTTAAAGCTGAGCACCAGTCTAATTCAAGAGCCTGATTCATTACCAACCTTAACTCTGTGTGTTTACCTTCTTCCACTGCTAAAATTCAGTCTGATGTTAGAGGATTGAATTCACGTGCTTACTGCATATGTCCTTAGCACTAGCCTACAGAGGAAATAGAAATAAATTTCTCATTTGGGTAGGAACTAATTCAGATGATAAAAATAATGCACATGAAATAAATAGAAAACACTGAAAGTAGGGTAAAGGAATGAGGAAAAATCTTTTTACTATAGGTAAGTATTTTGGTTTTCAGAGTAAAGAGAATAATTAGCATGAGATGAAATCATTGGGACGCTTTTACAGAAGAGACATTGTTTGCACTGCCCATACATGGTGGTAAACGGTCCTTGACATTTCTGTTATGTGATAGGAGCTCAGTTCCAGGCACTGTATGGTCAGCACAATTCTTGCCCTCAGTGGACCTACAGTTTAGTAGCAAGTCTATGTGGATTATTTAGGATTCGATGTTATGCTTCCTTACATTATAATGCTTCTATACTACAGCTATACTATAAGGTTTCCCATTTTCTGTTCTGTGGCCCTAATACGGAGGAATAGACTGGTAAAATTTTGTGGTTTGTTTACGTAATTTTCCTCTCTTCTGTGTATATATACACACACACACACATATACACACATTTAAGTTTCATATAGGCTTCTTTTACTTTTCTTTCTATGACTAAGAAAATTATAAAGCACTAAAAGCATGATATGCAAAAAATGCAGTCAGCCTGGAGCCTGAAAACCTGGGAATAAATCCTGGTTTTGTTGTTTAACTAGCCACACGTAGCTTTGGACAAGTCACCTAGCCCCTCCGAGCCTTGCTTTCCTCATTTAGAAAATGAGGTGGGTGGGATAGGTGACTGCTAAGATTTCTTCAAATTCTTAAAAACTTGGGCTGCTAGCAAATTATATCTGCCTAATCATGATCCCACAGATCCAGTGAGGGACTTCGTTACTGTTTGATGGAGGTTTTCATTCTGAGTTCACCTCTGATACGGCATACAGGACGTAGAGGGTGTGTCTGGTGTGCGGAGGGGGGATTATGGGCTTTCAGCCTGCCTTCCACTCCATGGCCTTAAAATTGCTGCCATACATTAGTTAATTCTTCACAAAATTCTTCATTAAAACAAATTATTGAAGGAGTTGTCAGGATTAGAGACTGTTTCCCAAAATCAGTCACTTCAACGTTGATCTGCTGTCAGACTGCGTGTTATTTTTTAGGAAATCAAAATAATGTGTATTGGATTTGTCACACCAAATCCTTCCAACAGATTTGGCCATTTCACTGACATTTCACTGTGGTTGTGAGGGTTGAGAAATCCTTGTGGGCTTAACAACTGAGCGCATGACGTAACTGCATTTTAAGGAAAGAGCTGTCTGCCTATGAGAATATCCCTGAACAGTATCTGAAAGTTGCTATGACTGAATCACTGGCCTGCCTTCCTCGGGTCCTTGCAGTACCTGGGGAGAACTCTGGCAGATGTCAACATATTAGGATTCAAAAATACTGCATTAACCACAAATTACATGACCTAACGTAGTGGAACTGCTCTTGGAAAAGTGAGTCACAAAATAATTCTGGTAAATTAAGAGTCAAAACTGGGATTAAGGTTTTAGGTAGGAACAAAATGCGGAAATTTACCAAAGAGATTAATGTTGAACAAGATTGCTAAAAATAATCTGTGTTCAATTCCCAAAATTTTTTGAAGTGGTCATGCACTCAAATCTTCAATTTATTTCTAAAAATACTTTTCATACATCTTTAATGATATCCTCTGTTTCTCCTCCCACAGGTCTTTCAAAATGGAATCTGTGCACAGCAAGGCAAAAAGTTCTGGGAATGAGATTTTGACTATTTCAAGCTTCTGTGGTTACTTACGAAATGGTAAAGGACTTACAGATACGAGTCTGATTTTTTTTTCCTTTATGAAATAGAATAACTAGCCCGTCTATAACTGGATCGCATGCTACAGTTTAGAATGAGCAGTGTTTGCATTTATTATTTTAGTCTGCATTTCACATGGCTATACTTTTGTATTCTGCCTGTATTTGAAATATACATGATTTTTTATTAAAATTAATAATGTTACAAGACACGTAATGTGATGAATTTCATCAAATGATCTTGAAATGCCTGAAAGTCTGAAACTTTTCAGCAAAAGAAATATTTGGATATTAAATTAAGGTCACCTGTGATTTATGGGGAAGTTTATTACATCATTATCTTTATTACCAAATAAATGATTATTATATGAGAGAATTTTATAGCTTTTTCAGAAGGTTGTATACTGATCCTTGAATTCTTCTGCATAATAGTCTTGGTGTTTAGATTTTCTTTTGATGCCAAATAGCTAATTTATCCTCAAAACCTGCTTCTCTAAATCTTTGACATCTCAGTAAGTGGCAAATCTGCCCTTCTAGTTGTTCAGGTCAAGAACTTTGGTGTCATTTTGACCCTCCCCTTTTTTGTGTACCCCACACCCAATCTTTTAGTAGATATATTGGTTCTGAGTTTCTCTCTACCCAAAGGACCGCCCCCCCAGAGTCTTCATCTCTCCTTGCCTCCCAACCACCCTTCCTCTCCTAACACTCCTTCCCATACTCTATTCGAAATTAAGCAGCCAGAATGACCTATTGGAAACAAAGTCAGAACGTTATGCTTCTGCTTAAAACCTTTCAGCAGCTTCTGTTCCACTCTGAATAAAAGCCACAGTCCTTAGGAGAGCGTACAAGGCCCAATATAACCTGGCTGTTCTGCTTCTGTCATTACACGCACACCCCACCATCTGACCTCATCTCCTTGTACTTACTGACTCCTTGCTTCAAGTGGTCTGGCTACACGGGACCTTTTACTCTGACCCAAACATGACAGGCAGGTCTTAGGGCCTTCTGCTGCCTGGAATGCTCTTTCCTCGGATCCCAGAGGTGAACCTGCTGCCTCCCACCTCCACCTTACATCCTTTGTGCTTGCTCAGACACCATTTTATCAAGGAAGGTGTCCTCCTTTCTCCCCAGCACACTCTATCCCACTCCCTGTTTTACTGTTTTCCATAATTCTTTTTACTCTCTGATGTAATATATATCTTTCTTTTTTTTCATTTGCCATCTATGTCCTGCTACTAAAATGTAAGCTCTGTGGGGGTTATCATTTTTTTATGACAGTTTTATTTACTGCTTCATCCCCAGTTCCCAGAACAAAGCCTTCAAGGAATTAAACAAATACCTTTGGATTCATGCGTGAATAGTAAATAGAATGATGGCTTTGGAAATAGATGGCTGAGGTTTAAGATCCAGTTCTGCCACTTACTACTTGTGCAGCTGTGGGCATGTCTTTTACTCCTTTAAAAAGCTATATTTACTACACTTGTAAAATGGGAATAAGATTCTAGACTTGGCGAAGTTCTGCAGTATACCATCGATACGTTGAGATGCCCTGAACAATGGTACATAGAGGCCTTCTCAACGCTAGTGAAAAGAATATTTGGAATATTTTAAAGTGAGAGTTTATTAATAACTTCCAATTTTTGAGTGTCTAGTATATTCAAAGAATTATGCTAATGGTTTTACACATATTCTTTCAATATAGAAACAACCTTGCATAGTAGGAGGGACTATCTTTGTTTTACCCTTGGGGAAATTGGGGTTCAGGGAAGTTAGATGACTCACTCAGAGGCAAAGAGCTGTTGAGCAGAGGGGCCAGGATTCCAGGCCTTCTCTGTCTGGTCCCAAACCACTTGCTCTTTGCATTACGTCAACACACTTCTCAGTTAGGATTACAACTAGTGTCCCCTCTAAATGGTCCCAGTCTGGGTTGCCTGCCTTCTCCTTAAGTAGTAGCCCTTATTAGGGCATTTATCCTTGTTTTCATTTTTCATAACATTAAGAAAAGGATTAGAGTTTATAGCATAATATAAGTGGTTTCTGCAGAGACGGAGAGGGTTGCTAACCAGAGCCATGGAGGCTCCAGCTTTTCCTCTGGCTGCCCCAACCAAAGTAGCAGGAGCAACTGGTGTTATTACTGAATAGTCCCTCCCATGTTTAGAGGTGGCTTTTATAGCATTTAGGATTCACGTAGATCCTAAGGAAACATGGTTTTGTGTTTTAGTAATTGGAAGATGGGAGGTGAAAGGAAAGGAGGGGATCGCTTTATGCTGTTAATTCTGTAAAGTCAAAGCCTGAATAAAATAATACTCTCAGGTGCTTATTCTAAAGGGTTGACAGGAACCAATACCCACTTCTGTCAGCAAAAATGGTGACTCAGTAATATTGGTAGGCCTGGGCCGTTTTCTTTTTATCTTTCCCCCTGATGTTGCAATTAATTCTTTAGCCCACTGACATTGCCAAGAAAAGTTGGCTCTCATTTCTACCTCATATTAAAATTTTAACATCACATTAAAGTGCACTGTGAAGTACCCCATGATGCCAGTAAGTAGTTAAAGTTGAGACCAATACTTAGCTTTGATGGTAGAGTCACAAGGTCATCAGAATGAGAGAGGAGGGGAAGAAGAGTGATCAAAAGAAAATTTTCTCTTACCTGCTGTGCGCATGAAGAAACGGAAAATATGACTTCAAAATCATAGTGCTCTATCATACTTACACGTTTTATGCACTAATCTTGGTCATTTCAAATTCACATCATATGTTCCATCAGGGAAAAATAACGATATTAATAATGAGTCAGAAGTTTCATATATATCCCTTTAATGTTCTCAGTTCACATTATGTTTAATACTTTCTATCACATTTCCCTTGACCACTAATGTGATATATAAAAAAAATATATAACATAAAATATTTATAAAATATATATTTGTACATATATATACACATAGACAATATCTATTAATATTTAAAATGGTGATTCAATGAAAAGCATACTGGACTGATACTATCTTAAAGAGTTGATGCCAGAATTTCAAACACATATTAATACATTAATTTAAATAATGATTAGAGTAATTTTCCCTCCCATGCAAGCCGTCATCATTTTTCCTTATCTCACTCCCACGATCTGGCACCTAGATAATATACTTTAGCCATCAGAAAGCTTTAATTGATCAATTTTTCATTTGGATGATAATATGTACATTTTCAATTAATGAAAAGGCACTTATTAAGTGCTTTTTTGTGTAGGGGGCTGCTGGACACTCTATGGATCAATTTAAATAAACCAAGCCCTAGCTCACTCTTAAAATTTCACACTGAACATTAAGGCAAATAGAAAGGACATTCAAAAGGGCAAACTTAAAAGAAACAATACATAACAAAATGAGTCAAATTAAAACATAAGTGTTATATCTATTGATCAGAGTAGTATAGCCAGGTAAGGACAAATCAAAGGAAGTCTTTTATATGATTTCTGTGTGATAGATGCTGATTCATGGCAAGGTAGTATGTCAGGATCTATTTGCATGAGGAAAGAACTGTAAAATTTGGCAATCTGTTTTGGGTGGGAACATTATTCATTGCAGTCTGTTGGCAACAGTTACAAAGATGGGTTTAGGGTATAAAGATGAATTTGATTTGATGTGAATATGTATTCATATAATCGTCAGACATACATATAAATTAACAAATGGTTCTTGACTCTGGTTATACATGAAAGTCATCTGAGGTACTTTTACAAAGTATTAATGCCTGCCCTCCCCTCCCCCTGGGACCTATTAAATCAGAATCTTTGAAAGCTTGAACCCAGACATTGGTGTTTGTGGAAAAAATGCTCCCCAGGTGACTCTAACATGCAGCCGGGGTTGAGGATCATTGGATTGCATCCATGTTTTAATACTCTTGAGATACAAATGTGTTCTCTGTATTTCTAGGTAAGAATGACTCCCATATACCCGATGCTGACGTTTCACTTTGGAAGCTCATTTCTTGTTGGAGAGACCACTCTGTGCAGGTATGACAGAGTGCTTGTTCTTGAAGTTACTGAAAGAGTTCCCTGCTGTTCTTTCTATTCTGTGAGTGGCTCATGCATATTCCTCTTAACCTGAGAGTACCCGTAAGTGGCTAATATTTCCTCCCCGGGCATTTCATTTACCAGGACTAATGCAGAGACCAGTAATGAGGGGAGAAGTGGAAATGACATATGCAAGGATGCATAGGCTAGGTGGGGTGAAGAGAGGGCCTGAGGAGGGGTTGTTCCTGTTGTTACAGGTACCTTATTGCCTGTTAAGGTTTCGGTTTGTGGCAGAATTGTCTATTCTTTGCTTTCAAAATGTGCCATGACATAAAAGTCCCTAGGCTTGGGAATTTGGTATGTGGACTCAGGAATCATTTCTCTATCTTAAGAGTACCTCATCTGTAAGCTGTTCGAGAGAACGGGTTTCTTCAAGGCCCAATTTAAGTCCTTCTATCTCTCTTAAGGCTTTTGTGGGTCCTGAAAGTTTACTGGGTAGCTTTGTACATTGTACAGTAAATATCTGTGCATTGATTAGATGAATATTTATTGGGACTTAATTCTTCTTCATGAGCTTAATAATGTCAAATGTGCAAGACAAGCATAGCAATAATTCCAATTACAAATGTTTATTCTTAGTTATAGGAAAACAAAAAAGTTAACTCAGAACACACTGTGGGGTTGACACCACAAAACCAAATAAACACAATTGGAATGGCTACTGAAACTTGTTACCAGGGCCTGCAAGTTTCTACATGATTTGCCACTAGCCTAACCTCTTCATTCATCATTCTCCCCCCTGCTCTAACTAGCCACACAGACCTTTTTATTTCCAAAATACGCAATGCTTATTTCCACCTCAGGACCCTACTGTTCTCTTGGGCTGGAATTCTAATTTTTCCATTCATCGTTTGGGTCTTTACTCAAAAGCCAACTCCTCTACGAAGTCTTCCCTGATTACGTACCTCGTGTTGTCACCACACCCTCCCCCACCCTATACCTCCAGTCACCATAGCAGTACACAGTTTATTTTCTTTGTTGCAATTGCTTTTAATGGAAATGCTTCTTTTGCTTTTTTGCTTGCTTATCTTCTGTCTTCTTGCTGTCATAGAAGCTTACTGAGAGCAGGGACTTGGTCAGTCTCACTCACCCCTCAATCAACAATGCCCAGAAAGGCAGTAGTCACAACAGCCTGTCAATAGATATTTAACGAATGAATGAATAGCCATGCAAAAAGCCTCTTTGACAATCAAATAAACATTAGTATATGTTGACTTTACCGGCGTGTTTGCAATCATCTAAGAGTCGCTATTAAAGGTAAGATTTATTTTCCCCCCAGTAGCCTAAGAATTCCTCAATGAGGGGTAAAAATCCTGAAGGAAAAGAATTCAACAGAAAATTTATCCTGTTTTTGCTCTAACTAAAGATCTTTTGTAATTGCTCATTTGGCCTTCAAATAAATTTTAATGTGGTTTGGACATGTTTGGACTAATGGACCTTTAAGGTCCTATGATTCTGTGACCTTGTGTAAAAGTCTCGCAGGGCGACAAATGTTACCTGAGCATTTATTACTCACTTTATAGGAAGTCTGAGCTTCAAAGATCTCCTCTCAGTCTGCCGCTACCCTGATGAATAGCTCTGGAAGATAGGTGTGACTTGTTGATTATTTTCCTCACGTGTAAAATGGGAATGATAATTCCTGGGTCCTTTGGGAGCAACAGCGGCTCTTGCAGGTGTTCATTAACCAATCCTCAAATTCCTTATAAAGCTGTTCATTTGAGCAGTTAGTCAAATCATGTTAAGTCGAATCTACTTTTGAATGTATTTTAGGTGGTAATGGAATGCTTCTGTCAAACAGCAAAATCCTACCTCAGAAATTGAAGGGGGGGTAAAAATATGTTAATTTTGCAGGTGAATGAATTTGTCTGGAGATTGTCTCTTTTGTGTCTAATGGCATGAAATACACCCAACAGAGAAATAGATGCTGGAAAAGCAAAGTAAGGTTTTGCAGTTGCTAATTTGCGTGTTTCCGAAGCTTCACTAAAGCTCTCTGGATTTTATAATCTAACACCAGTGGGTGAAATCATGACATCCAGGCCTCCAGGGACAAGTATTGCTTTTCCAGGAGATGCTGCAAAGACATGAAAAGTCAAGTGTGAACAGAGTGTTGAGAAAATGCTTTTGTCCTGGAAAATCTGGACATTGGAACCACAAGCAGGCCACAGGGGCTCTCATGAGTCTTCATAATGCTCTGTGCTATTTTACAGAACTTTGCTATGTCAAGATTTTAGTAGAAAACCATTAAAATTTTTAGCTTGCCTATGGCATAGTAATACTTCTAGTAATAAGTATATGGCCCAGATTTGTGGCTGTCTCTTTCCAGCCAATGGATTTGTAAATCTTCACTTAAATCTCTGCACATTCCCTCGTAAGAGTGTAATGTTTTGCACATCTGTCTTTTCAAAGAAAATTATTTCTATACATTTGGAAGACAGCTTTACAGCTGCAGTGCTTTCAATTCTAGCCCATTATTAAATTCAAAAAGTTATATAATATATGGTCTAAAAATTTTATATTTTGTTGGGGAAAATTCTATCCCTACTAACTATCAGCAAAACTTATCTACTATATTTATATACTAGAGAGATTTAAGTATTGATAGTCAGAAATTATCAATAAATTCTACTTTCTACACGTTATATGTTATATTTTTTAAGTACAGAATCTCTTTCAATTCCATTAGCATTTATTTAGTACCCACTGTATACAGATATTGGTAACATTATTACATGCTTGTAAGATGTACCATCTGTCTGTGGATTGGAGCCATGCTGAGCATTGATTTCACACTGAGCACAAAATGTGGGTTTGAGTTTGTTTCTAATTGGGTGTATGCCATTCAGTATTTGCTTTTAAGCTATGACTGAGTATCCTATTCATTATAGTTAATATGTTTTATTCAGTTATTTCTGCTTCCTCTTGTTTTTCAATGATACTCAATATTATTTACTCTTTAATGTACATTGATAGTGACAATGTCAAAAAGCCCCAAAATTCAATAGTTAAAAAATGTGGTCATGATACATAAATCTAATAATTAGAAATGTTCAGTGAAATTGCATACACCCCCATATATTTTTAGGAAAGAATATTGACCCAAGTTGTTATCCAGTGGTATAGAACATTGTAATCTAAATCACAACTGTAGATGCTCCTCAGAGATGGTAATAATCCCAGTGAGAGAAGGCAGACACGATCCCATGGGAGCATAGGGCCAAACTGCCCATTCGGAAGGATAGACCACAGTCTGGATGTATTACAAGTCTGCAGATAACCTCCAGTATCCTCCTGATTTATAGGTAGGGACACCAGCAAGTTCCATATAGGTTTCTGTGATTGAAAGCTCTCATCCTAGTCTTACTCAGCATCATGGACTTTGTTTTATGGGAGGACATGAAGTTCCAGAGTAGTACATGACTTTGCAGAAGTTGCCTTTGTGATAACTGTACAGTTGGTTCAGAAACTCGGGCTTTCTCATTTCTGATTCAGAGCTCTTTCTACCATATCATCCTCATCTTGGAAGCAGTGCTGTCAAATAAAATGTGTGACAAAATTAAAACAAAGTAAATTCAGTGGTGGAAAATTGTTCATGAATAATTAATACAGTTTGTCCCATCATATGATATACATAATAAGCATGGTTCACTTATTACAATATAGAATGGTATATGTTAGTAAATATCATATCTAATAGTTAATATATATCTCATCACATGGTAGATATTATTAATAGGCATGATTCACCAGTATCGTCATATGTAGAACTATATGTTAGAACCATGGTTTGCAATAGCTTTTACAATGTCGGGTATCTCATCATACGATATGCATGAGTAAGCATCACTTACCTACCTGTATTGTGACAGGAGGTACTGCAGTGTAGGTAGACTTGGTAGGCAATAGTAAAATCACATCCTTCATTAGCCTTTTGTCACAACCTAACCAAGTGTTTGAGTGTGAGCATTTGAGTGGACAAGAACAGGGGGATGGTCAAGGGTAGCTTCCTACATTTAAAAGTCAAGCACCTGGCTCCTTCTGCCCCGGCAGGCAGTTCAGTGAGCATCTGCCTTCAGCATAAGCTAAGCTCTCTGAGTGTCCCTGGAGCCTGAAGATTGCACACGCTACCATGGCACATAGAAGAAACTAAATAAATATTTAGATGAATACCTTTTCTGCTTTTGGCATCAGCCAAAACTCTAGATCAGTTGGTGTTGTCCCACCCAAAGCCCTAGCTGACGGCATCCTATGGGTAGACTGGGGATAATGCAGACGGGACGGTGGCAGTGGTGGAACATGAGTCCTCTTGACATAGGGCAGTCTTTTGAGGGGAAGAGGAGTAGGCATTGAGGTGTGGCTCTAGGAGAAGGATAATGGGAAGTGTCCCAAGTTCACCTAGGTCAGTGGTGTTCTTCCTTTTCTCTTACTGACTCGGCTCTTGGCTTTCTTTGAATTCTACGTAACTATTGGGCCTTGCCTCATATCTTGCCAGGAAGAGACTAAGGTACGTTGTCACTGGCCTTTTACTAAGGGATGAGGATATAGAACCTTGGGAGGACATACACTACAAAGGACATAGAATCAGGGGTCAGAAGGCCTGTCCACCGTATCTATGGGATGTCCTGTCCCAGGTTCTTTATTTAAAAAATGAAGATACTGAATTAGATGTCTGTGACAAGCATTCCCCTCCCCCTCTACCCAATCACAGATCCTTGACTGGACATGTACAATAATTGGAAGGCAAGCTTTGTAATATTTTTAAACTGTCTAAAACCATATACACATACACACAATTTAGTGAGATTTATTATTAAAATCTTGACTTTAACTTTCTGTATTAAACCTGAGTTTAAATCAAGTGTTTTTAGCTAAATAGTGCTTTAGAGCTAGACATTATTTGAGGAGCTAAACTTGTCTTTAAGAGCAATATGATATCTTCAAATTCATTTTATCTTCTGGTGGAAATGAGAGTATCTTAGGTGAAAGAATTGAGAACTCCTTTCAACTTTCCTTTTAGAATCTCTTATGTTAGCATAAGAACAGCCTGATGGTTTGGGTTCCAGTGCTCAGTATCTGCGTTTCAAATGTTTCAGATGTTAATTCTAGTGGAATTTTCACATTGTGAAACCTATTTAAGTCAAAATTTCAGGCTCTTAGCTTGATGTAAGACCCCAAACATTTGTAATAATCTTAAAAAAAAAAAAAGATTAAAAAATACTTTTATAGGTAACTGAAGCAATACAAGCTGTTCTCTTGGCGGAAGTTCAACAGCAGATGAAGACGTTGAGTAAGACACCAGTCAACAGTCAACCAGTGTCCATGACAGAGGACATCCACTGTGAGATGAGGCAAATCCTGCAGAAGATGGAATGGACCCAGGGGGAGGAGATAGAGTTACAGTGTACTACAGACACCTGGCCTCTGCAAAGTAAGTGTAAATTTATTGGCATGCACTTTCATCAGAACTTTTTCTACTACTTAGAGTGCATTCAGAATATTTCTGCAAAAACTGAGCCAAGTGCCCTGTTTCTGACCTATTCTGCTATCAGTTTCTTCTTATAATTCTCGTTTCTAAAAAACCTTCTTAATTCTATCATAATCAATAAATATGTTCCAGAACAAAAATCTGTATCGTTTATAAAACTATTTTTAAATTAAGTGATTAAAAATGAAAATAAGATTAACAGTAATAGCTTAATAAGATATTTTAAGAATACCTTGATAATGATGGGTCCTAAATTTGTTTCCATTTGATAACTTGATGATAGCCATGTGCTAGATTTTTTTTTCTTTCCTAAAAATAAGAAATGTAGTAGAAACTAAAATTAAACTGATTTACAGGTAGACCACTTGATTTTATAACAAAATTTTATCATTCTAACTTCATAATGATAATGTTTATGGTTCATGGCTAGCAAGTGAATCTCAATTTCTGCTGTAAAATGTTATCTGATTTTTCAGCCCATTAGCTGTGACTTAAAAAAATAAATAAAAAACAGTAAAAAAGAAGTAAGTACAAATTTGGTTTTCAACCTCACTAGTAAGCTTTTGATGAACAAGTTAATTTATGAATAAATATATATTTTCCTCAGGGAAACATGTTAAAAATTTACATGTTCCAGGTTGCTAAAAATTATTAGGTATTTCTTTTAGCTCTCAGAAAGATTTTCTTTTTATTTATTTGGGATTCAGAAAAATGTTGCTACATTTAAAATGTCAAATCCTAGAACAGGTGTCATTCTTAAAGATCTATTATATTTATTTATTATTTTTATAAGATTACTGATTGGACAGCATTATGTAGGGAGAGAGGATATGTAGCAGGGAAAGGCTTCTTCAGTGAAGGCCAAAGATCAAAATAGATAGAATATTTCCTAATGCCAAGACAGTCACTGAAGATGGTAAATTCAATAAGCAATTTGATAAAGCTCAATGGCAATTTCAAGTCATTTATTTGTCTGTTGTCCAGAAATTAGCTTTAATTATCTGGTAAGTTCACTCGTTTGAAGGAGCTCCTTTTTGATCATATCACATAATTGTAGTTATATTACACCTTTCAAGCAAGAAGAGAAAAATTCCTTTTTAAATTAATTTTCAGTGAGTGCATGTGGGTTCTTGATTCATTCGGCAAGGTACCCGTAGTGTCGTTAATATGTTTCTTCTAGCTCCCCAAAGACAGCTAGTGTCATTCATCATGTGTTAACTGTCATTAGGTGGCATTTATATGCTTTATCCCAAAGCTTGAACGTCTACCTTAGCCTTTGGCCCATAGCCTTCTTTTCTGGGTGAGAAATTCATGGCGGGTTATCAAGGTGACATTTTGATAAGTTTTGCTATCACATGGGTTGCCCATTATTTGAAGTTCACCAGACTGGGCCCTGTTCTGTTCCCAACTAATTCTCGGGTATAAGAAATATACTGTGGAATTTGGTCTTACTAGGATTAAAGACAGCTGGATTTTAAGTTAGATATTTACTATCTTCGGATCATTACCAAATGACCCTTTGCCAGTGTTAAAAAAAAATAAGGTTAATTTGTGATAACAATTAGAATACAAAAATATTAAGGTTACTTTATATATTGGTGGATGAAATTTAGAATATTTTATTTAAATGAAATGAAACATTCACAAAATACTGAGCACATATGTTCGTGGGAAATACTGCCTGTAGGAAAACACTAACTGCAATTGCAATTACGTGGAAACATGTAACATGCATTGAAAGGAAAATTGCTGAGCAATATTATGTTAAAAATTAACATTGCCTTCCTTTCCCTCTTTTTGGAAAAAAAGCAAAAAAGCCAAACAAACAAAAATTATTTTTTAATCTATTCAGAGAAACTTAGTAAAATTACAGGAAAAGTTTTGCACCTTTATTAAGTGGTATGGACTGCATTACTTAATTGGATTTTAAAAAAATAAATAAGTAAAAAGCCATTTTATTTATTTCAAATGTCCTAATTCAAAGGTTAAGGGATGGTATACGTACTATTCGCCAGGTTTGATTATTCCTAGGCAGATTTACTTAGATCCAGTGTCACTGCAACCTATTACCAAATATTCTATGATAAATGGTTTATGTTATTTTCAGGTCCTTGCTCATTTGTCCCTCTGTGAGCTCCTCTCCACCTTTTCCCCCCGGTAATTTCCTTTATTCTTTCTTGATTCCCTAGTGTCTTCTTTTTTTTTAAGATTGTATTTATTTATTCATTTGAGAGAGAGCACGTGCGTGGGTGCTTATCGCACAGGGCGGGGCAGGGAGTGGGGAGGGACAAGGGGGAGAGAGAGAATCTCAAGCAGACTCCCTGCTGAGCCAGGAGCCCAATGAGGGGCTGGATCTCATGACCCTGAGATCATGACCTGACCCAAAATCAAAAGTCAGAAGTTTAATCCACTGAGCCACCCAGGTGCCCTTGGTTTCTTAGTTTCTTAATGCATCTTATTTGTAAATCGTTTGGAAAGTAACAGATGATGGCTTTATTATGCATGGATACTCCTAAGCTTCTTTAATGTCAGAATGGAGTACATTTGGTTTATTAGCATTATATTAATATGGCAATAATAGATAAGAAAAAATAATAACAATTATTGTGCTCTTAATACACTCCAACACTATGCTGAGTACTTTATGAATGTTATATCACTTTTTCCTTTAATTCTCACATAATTCACATGAACCCTGACTCTCTTCCCAACATTTGAGTCATTTGTGTAAACAATTTTAGTTTTTTAAATGTCCCTGTTCATGGAAATGAAGTTTCAGAGAAGCACTGAAAAGAACTACTCTCTGAAAAAGAGATTCCCATGGTGCTACCTAGGCTTATCCTGAGAAATTGCCTCTGTACATTTTTTGACATACTAATTATGTATCTTTCTCAGACACATTAAAATTAATAATATTTTTTAAAAAGTCTATCCCTGTGCCAGCTATCTTCAATGCCACTAGTGGTGTATTATCTTGTACTTTGAAATCTTATTTCCATTATTATCCCATTTTTCAAAAATGGATAAAGTGAGGCTTAAAAGAGTTGATGTGCCTTGTCTAGAGTCACAAAATTAATAAAAACAGGAAGGCAAACCCAGACATTCTCTTAATTGCTGTGTTCTAATCCAGTAAAATCTTCTTAGATTTTTATTCTCCTCTCATAAATCATACTTTCTATTACCAAAGAAAATGCAGAGTGTTCAATCATTGCCATTTCCCCCCTTATAATAAAGAAAATCACCAGGTTTCTTGAACTATTTGAACATGAGATGCATCTAGAAAGCAGTGGAAATCAAGTGAAGTGAAAATTGAAGTATAATGTGTGTTTGAACTTTATAATTTCGTGTCTTATTTTATTTTCAGTGTTTTCACTTGTTACATTTCACAGCATGTATTTTATTTAAGGTCTTAGTATTTGTGTGTCAGTATTTTATGGGAGAGTGCTGGATTTTTATAATAGTTACATTGCTCTCTTCATCTATTTAATAAATTGTAGAATTAACATTCACATTTGAAGCTAAGATTCATTGCTTTAAAAAAACAGCAATGGTTTCTGTTATTAAAATGCATTTGAAAGTTATTTCCCTTTATTTTTTTTGAATGTTATTTGGATCAGTTTAAACAAGTGCTCTAAATTGTTCCTTAAATAAACTGATTGAAATAGAAATGGAGGCTTTGTAGATAAAACTGTCACTCTGAAATTATTAGCTGAATTTAAATTCACGTTAAACTGTGTAGTTGTGAAGATGATGCATCAAATGTAGGTGTTGCAAATAATCTTTATTACATGCATTGTTTTCAAAGACTTATCTACAAAACTAAACAATGAAAATGTGCTCTTTATTTAAGTAAAACCATGCATTGTGGAAAATAAAGGAAATAAACATCCATTCAACAGAAAAGTTTTCTGGTCCTGGTGCCCATCGGCAGGACTGCATCAAGACAGGCTTCCTCTGCCTGTTGAATTTCTCAGAAGGAAATCCGTCTGGTTGTGGAAAAAATTTGAAACAGTTGACCACCTCACAGGGAAACTTTTTTGACTGTCTTTATTTATAGTAAATGCATTTTTCACCCTCTGTGAGCTCTCTGGGCTAAATGAGAAGGTCAATGCATTCCTCTTTATGAAAGCAGAAAAATAATGGGAGACATATCATTGAAGGCCTTGAGTGTCATAGTGAGGCTTTCTCTCTGAGCAAGATAGAAAACCATTTGAGCAAACAACTGGCACATATTTTAATGGGATCATGTTGCCTGCAGTTCAGAGGCCAAGGATAGACACAAGGAGACCAGTTGGGAGGTCATTATGCTAACCCACATTATGGCAGCTTGGCACAAATATGGTGGTTTGGATAGAGAAGTGATCAGATTCTGAATGTATTTTGAAGGTGCAACTTAGAGTATTTGCTGATAGATTAGATATGGATGAATAAGATAATGAAAATCTATGCTTCTATTTTTTCAAACAAAAATATTTGATACATGGGCTGACCCTGGTACCATGACTTGATTCCTGTGTCAGGTCGTGCAATGTCACTCGCATATGGTATTCCAGGATTGCTGAAGGAAGACTGGAAAACCCCCATTACAGAAGGCTGTCCATGCTGTGTTCAGTTTCAAGTGTCCCTGCCTAGATGACCTACAGATTTTCTTTTCTAATATTAACTAAACTAACCCTCAGAAAATGGACAAGGATTTCTTGCCAAGAAACCATGGATTGAAGATAATACTAGTAATGCAAGCTTAAGCAAATAAGATGTAAGTGGCATTGCCAAACTTATCTTAAGGTATATCAGGAGGTGTGCATGTGTGCGCGCGTGTGTGTATATTAATGACTTCTTTTTGAAATTTCTATTTTTGTATATATTTTATAATGGGCCTAATGTTGATATACTAATAGTATGCATATTGTTCATAAACAAGCATATATATATGTATTATATTA